AAAGGGCGGGTAGGACGACTCAGCTCTGTGTACAGTTTCACCCCATTGGAATGACTCTAGACAGCAGGGCAAACTGAAGGGTCGCTTTGTTATGCAAACATGGATATTTTTCCAAAATGCCAGCCAAATTTAATATTTAAGGACCTAAAGATAGCACCGCTATTTCCAAAGGGTTAGAAAGCAAGCAGTGAGCATGTTTGCCAGAAGACCCCTGCTGTATATCGTATGTTTGGTGGCTTAAGAAGAAACTGATAATGTATTTTACCTTTATCCATACAAGTCTTCCCCCAAAATCCAAAATTCACTTCTGCTGGTCTAGCCGTTGTTTTATTAAGAAAATCGTTTGAACTTTTTGTCTGAGCTCAGTGCCTATGAGAGAAAACCTTTTTTATGGTCCTGCTGATGGACTTCTGTATCAGAACCGGGGAATACAGATTCGTAGACAGAGATGGGAGAAAACTGACAGTATCAGAGCATATCTGATGACTGAAAGGTCTGCTGGTGGTGGTGGTGATTTGGTTCTTCATGTGTCTGATGTCAGAAATGCAAGCTGGGATGGCAGCTCTGATGTCAGGAATGGGGCTGACAGGTTCAGACTTGGTTTTTCTAAGTGAAGGATCTTACACCACCAAACCATTGCCATATATAAGCAATATCTCTGACTACTAATCTTCTTATAGGTCTGTGCCCCGTTATCAAAAACTTCTAATGAAGCAGTCAGAGCTTCTAACCCTACTAAATGTGAAAACGCATAGATTGTATTATATCTGTGGCCAAGCTCTGTGAATTAATAAAAGCAGGATGAGTAAGGTAAATATTTTCACAGAATAATACTACTAGAAGACATGCTAATTACAAAAGTATCGCAGGACTTCTGAATTTTGTTTTTTACCCTGTCAAAGCTGCCGGCAAACACTTTATGCCTAGTTTTGTTTTGCTGACAGATACATGTCTATGGATCATTGTTGAATAGCCTTCTGAGGCCTTACAAGGATCTGTCTGAAACTTAGTTATCAGGTCTCTGGCCGCATTCAGATGGCACTGCTGTCGCTCACAACGCAAACATTTTGTGTGACAGGGTGGCACAGGGTCCAGTGGGGAGAGCTGAGGAATGGGAGTGACGCACATTTGAGTAAGTCCAGTCATGGTGGCACTAGTTAAGCAATTACGATTGCTTAATTCATGACATTCTGGTGTGCATCAATACAAAGATACATTTTTAGAACTTTGGGGGTTTTAGTTTCCTTTTTTAAGATGCCGAGGAAGCCGCGCTGGTGGAAAGCCACAGTAAATGTTATTGCTAGAGAAACCTCAAAAGTAAAGGGCATAATAAACATAGCAACAAAAGTCTTGCACGGGTAGCAGTCTGGAGCTGTCTGTAAGTACGTGTTCAAGTAACATTTCTTCCACGATAACCCCATGGCATGGAGAGTTCTGGCTGGGCTCGTCAGTTACAATGTAATGCAAAGCTTCCTAAATGAAAAAAAAAAATCACAATGTTCATGAACTGTATGCTCCTTGCATTCTTGGGTCTGATCTGCTGTCCTGCCTCCACCTGGAAAACCAAGTTTCACATATAGTGTCCTGTAAAAAAATGGGAGTCTCAGACTGCACAATAAAAATTTACATATGCTTCTGTCTTGAGGTGGTTCTCTGAAATGACAGCAATAAATCAGGGCCTGAGACTTTTCCTACGAACTTTCTTGTACCTTTTTCTTTCAAGAAGAACTTTTAAAGACCAAAATTCCATGTCAAATTCAGACAATTTAAATATAGTTATCTGGTATGTGGAGACTAGGGTATTGTTTTATAATTCATTTTTAGCCCTGGGAAAATATTTCACAAACAGTATCTTCAGAGAAGTGTTGTATATGTAAGTGCATGTATAAACCAGTGATAAAGGATTATCACAGATACATCCTGTCAAGATAAAGTAAACTTATTTGGGGGGCAATTTTACAGTGAAGTGTTGTATGTATTGCAGATGTCGGGCTTCAGAGCAGAGACTCATTCTGGCTGGTCTGTGTGCTGGGAGTGTGTGGCTGCATCTTCCCTTCCCAGTGCAGGATTTCATATGGATGGCCCACTGCTCCCAGGTGGGACCACACTTTCCAGAAACTACTGGTTGCTTTATCTCTTTGTCCCCTGGAAAGGGTATCTTTAGGCCATTCTTTGGAGGGCATCACCCTGGGTGCAGTTGCTTTGGATAATAGACTTTTTCATATAAAAATCTTACTAGGGCACAGCAGTACTGTTTCTCCTAGGAGGAAATCCTATGTAAATGCAGCCTTTAGTTAAAAAATAAGTGGGTAGTGAGAAAGTGTAGTGTGTGTGCATGTGCATCCTGTAAGGAGAGTATGCAGCATGCTAGAGGAGGTGTAGGTCGCCATGTGGTCATGTTTTCAGCATCGCTGAGCTTCACCATTTGGTGCGCACCGTTGTGCGAGTGGAGAATCCTGGATCCTGTACACCTGGTCTGCAGTCTCCTCACCTGTCCTTTGTGTCCCTGGTTAGGAACAAACAGGGATGTGTCCACTGAAGTAGCTCTTTGTGCTTTGCTGGAGTTGGGTAGGAAGTCCACCATCCACCTGGAAAAAAGTTACAATTCTGAGAGGGGTTCAAGCTTTCTTGCTCTGCATATATACGATGAATCCTATAGTGTGAGTGTGTGTGTGTGTGTATGTATATTATGTATAGAAATACTCTGCTATACTGTATATTTGAAATATTTCTAGTAGTCAGGATATTTGAATTCAATCTTAGGAGGTGCATGCTTGTTCTGTGATCTGCTTCTGATGGGATTTAGCTCAGCGAAGCATGTGGGGTACAGGCTCAGCTGTCTGTTTATGGTAAGGAGGAGCTGGAGCACCGCTGAGAATGGAAGAACCTGGATGAAACTGGGCATCAGGGAGACTGGTGGAAACGCATAGCCTGACTGTGGTTGAGTAGCCTTAAGTCTAGCAGGCTCGTGAGCTTTGGTTCCAAACAGTGCAAGTGGTGACGGTTTCTGAGCAGTAGTGGACAACAAAGACAGTAAGAGCCATCTTAATCTGTAGGATGGCGGTTATTCTGCAAATAGCCCATCTACTAGTAATGGGCTTGACTGTAGTTCCATCTGGTAAGGGATGTAATCGTTCACAGTTTGACAGCAGAGTCTAGCATCTCTCTCCCAGCAGATGTAAAACCTGTTGTAATGGGTCTGCACGCCTTCTTGCAAGACAAAAGATGTTTTTGGGTAAACCAAGATAGGCTTTATAGTACACAGAAAAAACTCAGCTCAAAAGCTTAATACTAGAGAAGGCTATAAGAAAGTAAAAATACAATGATACCCATCTATCTTGCATGCTGAGCCCATGGAACACATCAGGGAATGTGCAGTAGCATGAGCCACCCTTGCGGCGGGGTAATGTGCACATGGAGGGGAGGGCACAAAGTGGGGGGGAAGAAGTTACACCCTCATAAATAAATGATCTTGTTATTGGAAGTTTTTGTGTAGTGATCTCCCTTAGTGGAAAAGACAAACTGTGTGTACCTGCTTGTTCCTATGGGTGTTGCAAAGGTGTTAAAAGGGGAATAGTTGCAACGCAGAGACCGAGGTGGTGTGTGTGGGGGTGTGTGTGTATGAATTTAACACAGTAATTATCAAGCACAATTTAACAAGCCATAAAGCCATCTGTGATTTACTATTACTTGCATCATAAAAGGGAGAGCAGAAGCACTCCGTCTTGGTTTTGTTTAACCATATAAGACCTAATAAGAGACTCTTTGGTTATTAAAGTCTGTGTGTACATAACTGATCTTGCAGTCCTAAATGTTGCCATTTCACAAAAGCAACCCAGTATGCTGTTCCATTTAATTTGGTGCTTACAAGAATTTAAACTATGCAACCCGGTCCCCAAAATGCTTCTCTTAATATGCTTTTGTATGTGCATAGAACCCTAAAAGTACAAAATGGCAAATTTGATCCCAGAACTAGCCTTTGAGGTTGTGTGTGAACTCAGTTTTCTACAGAGCCGACTGGAAAACAGGGTTTATTCTGTGGTATTTACCCATTTAAAATATTTTTATTTAAAGTAGGATAAATATCCAAAATACCCCGTCTTCCTTTCCAGAAATGATCCCTCTGAACAATGTAAGTAGTTTTAGAATACTTGCATTAATCCAAATGTGTAATCCAAACAGTACAATACTTACACTTCAACTTTTTCATTATGCATGAAACAGAATCTAAACCTGAACTAACAGTGTTAAAAAAACAAAAAAACCCCCTTGTTTCAGTAGAAAACTTCATCAGAGGTGTTCTCATGCAGTATTTTATCTTGTTATTTGAATGCTGCATTTTCAGGATTTTCTTCTCAAGCCTTTTTTCTCCTATATTAAAAGGAAAGTCCTTATATGAATGAGGCACTTGATGACGGACTATTGCCATCTTCTGTTTATTCAACTGCACTACATTGCAGAAGATGCATATTGAAAGGGCTGAGAAGCACTTTGGTAGGTTTGATCTGCGGACGAGGCGGTGCTGCCAGCACCACAAATGCCCAAGAGGAAAAGCCGAGATGCTGTCGGCCAGCGGCAAAGTGCTGTTTCTGCAGACGGAGCCCTGTGGCTGCCCTGTCCCAGCAGCCACCCTGCCTGCGAGTGCACCGAGGGGTCTCCACAGGAGTGTGTGCCACCTCCTCCCCTCTCCTTCACCTGCTGCAAGTCCTTCGGTGGCCGTCTGCCAGACCCCGGGGACGTTGGATCCTGCTCCGAGGCTGGGGCTTGTCCATTGCAGCTGGAGCCTCCTGGAGCTGCAGGTTGCTTTCTGAGCTAAGGCATCCTTAGCTTCTGTTGGCCTTTAAAAAAACCAACTAAGACAACCCCCAAAACCCCTCTGAAGTGAACCTGATCTCTGTGTGGATTTAAGCTTTTGAATTTTGAGATGGATGTTAGTAAGCTGAAATGGAAAAGCTGTACATGTCTGCACATTCCTTAATGAACTTCCATGGTCAGATACTCAAAGATATGTTTTATTTACACGATATACAAATATTCTCACAAATTAGCAAAAGTCTCTGTGTGGGTGACTTCAGACATCAGTGTATTCATGGTATATGCGCACTTCTGATCTTCTTACGCTCTGAAGTGATCTAATACTCTCACTCCTGGTTCGCATATTTGATTTTCTGAACAGCCTTCGTGAGAATGATCTACACATGAAAAAGTAAATGATTGGATCCAGACAGACATTGCATGCAGATAAGAACAGTGTCATTTCCTTACAGTAATATAAGATTTTATGTGCAGAGTCGTCTAAAATTTTATCTAGATGGCTGAAAGTAAAGGGTATTCTGCACAAATGATATGGCAGAAAGCAAGTGAAAAATACAGCCACAACAACCCTTATACTTTGATTATGCTTTCGCTTTCTGCTTGATGAGCTAATAAATTGTTTGCTCGATTTATAAATGTACCTGGATATCGCAATATAACATCCTATCAGTACTATCAGCACCACTACAAACATGCAGGTGTTGATGTAGACGACAGCTGTGTGCCACTTGACTCCCAAGGGAGACTTCAGCTTTACGCAGTCGTCTATGTTTTTCTTTGTCGGGTAGCCGTTTGTAAGAATCAGGTTTGGTAAAGCTAGGAAAGCCATTACAACCCAAACGCAGGCAGATAAGATCTTGGTGAAGGTGATGCTGTACATCCTGGAGTCTCCAAAAGGTTTCACTACTTTCAGGTAGCGGTCGATGCTGATGAGTCCGAGGAACACAATCGTGGTGTACATGTTTGCGTAAAACAGAACTGTAGTGTATCGGCACAGGAAAGAGTTGAAGTGCCACGGTCCCAGCTGCGAGTCCTGGATTATCTTGAACGGGAACGTTAGTGTCATGAGAAGGTCTGCAACCACGATGTTTTTGAGGTAAAATATAAAACTCGTTTTATTCCTGATGTGGAAAAAAATCCACACTGCTAGGCCATTCAGCAAGATGCTTGCTAGGAAAATGATGAGGTAAAGCACAGGCAAGACGATGGTGGTGAATTCGTTGTGTGTGGAGTTCCCCAGTAAGCCTGCTGTGGCGTTGGGCGAGGTGCTGTTGTCTTGGCTCAGACGATCATCTGTGGGAATGAGGGAGAACAAGAAGTTTAAAGTATGTTTCTAGCGTTTTACAAATGGGGCCGTTTTAGAACTGTCCTCTAGAAAATGTCCTATGTCTGGGCAAGTCTGGAGGCTGCTCGGGGAAAACCCGGGTTTAAAACGATGCTGCCGAGCATCGCACGTGTCAAAATAAACGCGCCTGTGGCTTGCTAACCTCTGAGCATGACGTCTGCGCTTTCTGCCGCAATACAAAGGTGCTCCTGCAAATAGTCTGACGGGAAGAAAGTGCAGGATGCGAGCGTGCGTACGTTTCCGAGGTTCCCGTACGGCTGACGAGCTCCGGGGCCGCCCTCGCCGCTGCCCTGCCGGTGAGGAGAGCGGCAGGCCCGGCTTGGCGGGGTGGACGCGGCGGCGGGCAGCGGCGCGGCCCTTCCGTCGCTGAAGGCGCTTTGACTTTGGGCGGTCGGAAGGAGCCGTTCGGCCAGGCCCGCGGCCCGGG